ATTACCACCGGCCCCGTTAGCAATGGAGCAAACGGGAACGGGCTGAGTCAGAGCCGCAGGCGCCACTGCACGTGGTCTAGAGGAGAGGGTGGCTGTTAGGAGAGACCCTCAGGAGCTGTCAGGGGGCATCGCCAGGTGTGTGGCGGGGAGGGCAGGTGCACGTGTGTGTGAGTTTCATTTGTTTTATGCACATGAGATAGGAGGTTAAAGATATGTGCAAAAAAAGTAAGTCACTACCAGTCTAGATCACAGAATCACAAAGTGTTAAAGCTGGAAGCTACCTTCATGATCATTTGGTCCAAAATTCACTTTACAGATGTGGAAACCAAGGCCTAGAGGCGAGTGACTTGCACAGGGCCATGAAGGTGGCCAGTGACAAAGCCAGGCTGGGTTGCACATTCCCAGCAGCTCATGCAGCACTCCGGACGTGAGTCACTTTTACACGCAGGAGCAGGGTTGGTTATTTGAAGCACTTAAATGAAAAGCCCTTGTATATAGTGATTAATGAACTCTTCTTCCCTCTTCCATTTCTGTTTTATATAACTCTAGACTCTTTTCTGCTATTTTGAAATATTAAGGGGGTACAAATGTTTTTGATTACATGGAAGGCTTTTGTAATGCTTGAGTCACAGCTATAGATATGCCCGTCACCCAAATAGTGTTCATTGTACCCATTAGGTAGGTTTTATCCCCTCCCCTCCGCTCCCCTCCCCCCTGCTTGATTTGCACCGAGTTTTACTTCCCTCTGTGCACAGGTGTGCTCATCGGTTAGTTCCAATTTAATAATGAGTACATGTGGATCTAGACTCTTAAATATTTGTTTGTTTTGGGCCCAGATAGGCAATATTCATAGTTACCTGTGAAACAGAGTCTGCATAATATTTGGCTATGCAGGATAAAACCCACAGATCCTATTTTCTTATGAAAATTAAAATCCTGGGTTTCCATTAAAATACATGTATGTATATGTATATGATTACATGCAAACTTAGAAAGTGAAGACATCTCATAGCTTTCGTTATAGATCATTTATCCTATTTAAGAACCTTCAGTTTTAATTCTGTGTGACCCAGCTGATTTCCTACTGACATTGAAATTCAGACCCTGCCCGTGCTTAATGCCAAGGCCTCTTCCTCCAGACACCAGGGCTGTAGTGGCCACCAGCAAGGTCTGGGTGACAGGACTCCAAGAGTACCCTTCTCCCTGCCCACCGTGTGGAGTTCAGGAATACCACTGGCTGCTGCATTGACCCTTCTCTCCAAGGGAGTGTTTCTTTTGGGAATGTTACAGAAAGAGGAGTCACTAGTTTCCACGTAATTTTTTTTCTCGTGAATGAAGTCAAAGTCCCGAGAAGCCTTAGCCAACCCTTGTATTCCTAATTGTATGAAGCCTCTTTGATTCAGTGCTTGACAAGGCCACCAAGGTCCATGTGTGTGAGTACGCGCGCGTGCGTGTGCGTGCACACACACACACACACAGTTACACTGTCACCGAGCAATTCCACTCACTTCTAGGTATATATCTTAAAGGAACTTTCACAAGTGCACAATGAGAGATGCACAGGAATGTCCATAGCAGCATTACCTGTAACAGGAAGGAAGAAGGAAAGAAGAGGAAGGAAGGAAGGAAAGAAGAGGAAGGAAGGAAGGGGAAGGAAGGAAGGAAGAAAATGAAAGAGAAAGAATGCAAGAAAGAGAAAGAAAAAGAGAGGAAGGAAAGAAAGGAAATGTGTAAATGTACATCAACACAAGAATGGGGTTGTGGTATTAATATACCCATACGACAGAATATTATATATCAGCGAAAAAGAAATGAACTATAGCTATATATGTCTGCATGGATGAATCTGAAAATTTTAACGTTGAGCAAAAGTAGTGTGATATAATTTAAATAAGGTTTATAAACACACAAAAATATGCTATGGAGCTCGGGGTTTACATATACATGTAGTAAAAGTATAAAGGAATGCTTGGGATGATAAACCCCAAATTCAGGGTTATGGTCTCCTGAGTAAAGGGGACTGAGGGGACTTCAAGTATGGTTGTCAAGTTTTATTAAACTCGGCAGTGATTCATGAGTGCTTATCAAATGATGGGGGTTTTTTTTGCATTTTATATTCTAAAATATTAAGTAAAAGGAAAAAAAAAAAAAAAGGAAAACACCAGGCAGCTGACCCTGTTGGAAATTATTTATTTACCACTGCAAAGTTTTTGCTCCAAAATGTGACACCAGACATATAACTACAATGCCTCATGCATCTTTTTGTGCTTTGGTTCATGACTGCAAAACACACACTTAGCATTTGACAACAGGAAATACAGAAGGCAGAAATGAATCACAAGGACGAGTTGGTTTAGGCAACAGCCGTCCTTCCCCCAGGACTCCTTTACATCCCAGAGGAATGGACCCTGAAGAATTGCTCTCCTACCTTGCTTTCTCTGCCCCGCTTTGTTTGGGGTGACTTTTCATTCAACCCTGTTTGGGGTGACTTGTCATTCAACCCACACGGAAAGTCATATCTCAAATCAAAATGGACAGACACGTGCAAGGTCTCGATTAATAAGCACTCAACAAATAGATATTGATTTGATGTAAGAAATGGAGTCGCAGATTAAGGAAGGTGGACTCCTAATTCTCTATCCCCATAGACATATCTAATAAAAGAACCTGACCACCCTTAGGGCAACAGCCCAGTCTGAAGCGGTCTCTCACTTTCATTTCCCCCTCTGCTTCACACCCTTCTTAGAAAATGTTCCCTGGCATAGTACAAGGTGTTCTTTTCAAAAACGATCAGATGCGTTCATATAGACTCAATTATTGTAATTCAATAGTAAATTGCAAATGTACCGGGTACAAGGTAAGCTGATGCAAAGATTACTAAAGTATTTTGACTTGGCAGTCTGACATCTCTGGGTAATTTAAAATTCACTAAGATGGAGTTTTGGTGGAAAAGCACAGCACTCATAATCTCTTCTTCTGTTAATTACATTTACATTGGGAGCTGTGAGTTGTCATTAGGCAAATAGTAATACTCAATGTTATGAATTTCTAGGCCAACTGCTAAGATGTCTCATGCCTTTACCAGTGAGAACTCAGCTAGGATTCTAATTGTTATGCCATTTGCAACGTCTTTTTCTGCACACTCCTCTACTTCCCTGTCCATCCTTAATTCATTCATTCATTCAACAAATATTTATGGAGCACCCATTAGACAGCTTTATCTTAGGCACTAAGAATACACCAGTGAACATAACTGACAAGCCCCTTCAAAACCTATCTCGTTTCTGTACCTCCCTGCCAAGCGCAGTGATGGCTGACACCTAAGATGTCCTGGGGTGGAGTATGGCTCCCATCAGGGCAACCTTTAGTGTGTATTCTGGAAGACTAAAACGTTAAGATCCAAAAAACTGAATGCTTCATGATGGAATGACTGTGGGAGGAGCCAATATTCGGGGATCAGGGGCCCAGACCACCTCATTCCTTTGACAGGACTGTAAGGCTGGTGCATAGATTTATAAGGAATATTAATAGAACCCATGTTTCCTGATTTTTACTCTGGAATCCAAACTTTTCTAGATTGGAGTAACAGATGTTACTAAGAAGAGAATGCTGGTTAGCTCTCAGCTTACATAAGGAACATTTTGTTCTCTTTTAGCCATGGTAACCAAAAGAAGAGAGCCGTGTGGCAAGGGGACCTCAACAACATGTTATAGGAAACCACTAACAAATGCTTTGCCTAAAAAACACTTGGCAGGGGCCGGTCAACCTTCATGATCAAGGTTTCCAATTATCTTTGCCATTAAAAAGGGATTAGATATTTTTTCTGGTTCTTCAGAGGATGGGTAGAAGTTACTTCTAATGCTTTCCTAAAATTTCTGTACAGAAAGGAAAAAGAATGACCAAACGGTCTAAGGCCCCCGATCATGTTCTCAGGAAAGGCTAAGTATGACTTGCCTTGTTGAAGGAAAGAAGCCCTTACCCATCTCGTCTAGGGATTCTGTCTTAGATCAGGGGACCAGGGTGACAGGTGAGGGCCCAGAATCTGGATGTTCATATAGAGGAGCCCAAATGCAGAATCCATGGTTCTGAAAATGCCTGGGATGCTTCTGGCACTTTCTGGACATTCTTGGCTGCCAACTTCAAGTAGAAATAGTAACCCAGCTTCACCATGATCTGCTGGTGGCCTCAGAGTTTGTTTTTAGCCAGGGAGTGCCGATAACTTCTGAACACCATTTCATTTATCATGCCATTCACGTCTGTTTCCACCTCCATATAGCCACAAGTAATCGCCTAAGTTAATAATTAAGTTCCTCCTGAAGTGACTGGAATGCTGAGAAGGGATGGGTCTCTCTCAGAGGGTCACTTTGGTGATGCTGGCAGATGTGACAACTTGCACTCAGAATCCAGCCCAATGACTAGCAGGGCATTCCACCTACACTTTGTCAGAGAAGGTCTCCCCAAGGATAATAGAAACAGATTTTAAGATAAAAAAAAAAAAGCTTTTCAATAAAAAGCACAAAATTCAGTCTAAGAACAGGATCTGAGAAGCACAAAGTAAAATATTAAGAATTAAAATAATTAAACAAAAAATGGAGGCCCCATTTCATGCTGATGGTTGAGGTGTCCAGCACAGGGAAAGGCTGCCCCATGGTGTCGCGACCCCGTCAAGGACTGTGGTTGAAAACCTGTCTGGAATGTTGAGGAAGGAGTTCCTCCAAGGGCAGCACTTCCGCCTCTCCATCAGACACGCCCCGTGCTCGTCCAAAATGAAGGCTGCTGGGCTTCGGCCCGGGAGACTGACTTGGAATCCTCCGGGGGGGCCCAGGATCTGCTGGTGACTCTTCACACACCAAAGTCTGAGAGCTACTGGGCGACCACCTCGCCCGGGGAGCTCGCCCTAGTGCTGGGTACAGTTCCGTCCCACCCAGACCGTCTCTGCTTCTAGGAGTCAACCCAGGGTACTTTTATTTCTGTCATCATTTTTGAAAAGCTGATTTTTTAAAAAGCCAAATTCTTCTTTGCAATCAAGCTTTCTCTGCCTCTGGCCTAACCCCACCTGTCCCACGGGCACACGAGTTGCATTTGGTAAGTGTCTCTCTCGATAGCACAGATGAGCAAAATGCATTCCTCGGTGTGACCCGAATGTCTCGTTTCCACACACCACCCTGCCCTGCCTTGCTTATTTCTTAGAAATGGGAGTGTGGTGACAGGAATCGGGTCCTGGCCTTTGCAAACACGCCTGTCTCTGTCTTCTGGGTGTCAGAGTGAGGATAGGGCACAAAGAGCAGGTTGCAGAGGACAGCCGGGCTGCCCGAGCGGGGAGGCGGCCCCGCGGCTGGCTACATGTGCAGCTGGTGCCACATGGCGATCTGCCGGCGCGGGTTTTTGAGCATCTCCTCCCAGTGGCTGCGCGCGGAGCCCGAGCTGTGCAGGCCCAGGCTGCAGCGGCCGAGCGCGCAGCTCCGGCCCGCCTCGTCCTGGCCCAGCACCTCCAGCTCCACGCTGGACGCCCGCAGCAGGTCGTCGGGCAGCTCGAACATGATCATCTCGTTCCACACGGGGTTGATCTTGTGCTTGGCCCGTTTCGTCTGCTTCTTCTTCAGCTTCTGAGCCTGGTGCTTCAAGGTCACCTTCACAGAGACATCTGGGAAGGGACAGAGGGGAAAAATAGAGAGAAGAGCCGAGAGTGAGCTTCTGGGGTCTGGCGGGCTGGGATGATGCTCCTTCCTGGAGCCGGAATGACAGTGTCTCTGGCTCAAGATTCTCACCGAGGATCGCTCTCTGCTCCCCAACTGGCCATACATTCATTCATTCATTCAACAACTATTAAGTGCCAACCTTATGGCGGGAACTGTTCTAGACATAGGGACACAGCAAAAGTTCCTGCCTCTACAGAACTTGCACCAAAGTGTGGGAAAGAGACAATCCCATAACATAAGGCTGGGGCATGTTCGAGTGACACCAGGGAACCACACTTTGCCACGAGCCCTTCCCCGTGACTTCTTATCCCCACATGAATCTAGGTCCGGGGCAACAGCTCCGGGGTCCTGCAGATGGATTTTGCACTCAGACCCAAGAAACAAAGCCAGCTCAAGTCTTCGTCCCCTCAATTCTCGGCCCAAGCGTTTTTGTCTATTATGAAAGTAGTAGGTCCCCTGCTGGGTGAATTCTTCTCCTCTGCTCTCTCGTAAGTTTTACTTGAGGACCCGGATGTCAAGTGTGGGAGGGATGGAGGCAGACTCCCTGTCCCTTCACCCCCACCCCGGGGCACGGCACCCGGAGAGCTGTCTCCCAGGAAATCTGCAAACGCGTCACCAGGGGAGCTTTCCTGTCACATCGAGAGGCTCAGCCCCGATTACTTTTCCATTAGTCAAGGTTCCTGAAGCTAATGTGAGGATAATTGTTACTTTGTATTTACTGCTATAATTATCGCCCCCCAGGGGTTAGTTTGTTATTTCAGCAGAGATATTTGAGAGACAAAGTGTTGAGCTGTAATTGTCCTGATAGAAGCTATCAAAAAAGAGCAAGAGGCAGAGAAGTGTCTGGAGGGGACAAGGAAAAAGCACAGAACTCTGACTTTTGGCCCAGGAGTCTGCCGGCAAGACCAACTCTTCTGATTTCATTAGCCCCAAATCTTTTGCTCAGAGACTCTGAATGAGGTGGCAATTCTTTATTTGTACCCTGCTATAAATAGAGATGTATTTCTATCCTGCTGCGAGCACTTGGCTGCCAGCGCAGGTACGGTCTGCTAGCCGAGGCTGCCTCCTGCTCTGCTAGGAGAGCCTGCTTTGGTCCCCAAGACTGGGGACTTGTGCTGGGGTATCCAGAAGGAAAAAAAGGAGGCCTCCAGGATGGTGAAGAGATGCTTATTTGGGTATATGGGGCACAGATGCCCTAAGCCTCAGGCCTCAGCCCAGATACCCACACACCTTCTGCCATCACCCACACTCAGCTGGTGTGGGGGTGGCAGTTGGCAAAGGCTGAGAACAGAGAAGACTGTGCTGGGTGTGGGGCGTGCAGTGGTGGCTGAGACGGGAGAAGAACAACCTGGGCTTCCTGACACCTGCCCCAGAGGTGGGTCCAGCCAGGTTTTCCCAACAGCCCAGGAATAATATTCCATAGCTACCGTCTGACCCTCAGCTTCCTGGTCAGATTGGCCTTCCATGGGTAAGGCTAATTGTGATTATAGTGGATGTCCAAGGTAGGGAACCCCAGGTGGCTCATATCTGTGTCCTGGTGAGCAGATTGGCTCAGGAGTGAATGCATATGAGCCCAAGGAAGTGAGGGTGTCCTTCAGAATTGGTTTGTGAGCTTAGGGTGGAGGACACAGCTGAGGAAGATCCCATAAATGTGCTCATGTTCCACCTCCCTGCTCACCTGTCCCCACTTACTCCCGGGTGCCACGTCCCTCTGCACACATTCCCCGGCTCTCTCCTCTCACACCTCACTCACCCTTCCCCAGCAGCTCCTTGGACTGGTTGGCGTGGAGGTTCTTGGCTTTAATCAGCACCACCAGGAGGCGGTTGGCGGCTGGGAGGTAGCTGATGGAGAGAAGGACCTCTCCAGTTCCTGCAGACAGCTCCTGAAACAGAAGAGGAGGCGCAGGAGGGGAGGGAGGGTCACTTGGGGGTGGCTTCTGAACCATCAACTAATGCTGAGGCTGGGGTCGCACTGGGCTTATATCTAGCAGGCATCCTACAAACCATGCACCCATCAAAGCTGGCTTCTCCACCCCTGCGGAAGGGAGTAAGGCACAGAAGAATTATGTGTGCATATGCTTCGTTTTCCACAAAATGTGATTTTTCACATATTATTTATTCAAACCCAAGGTATAAGACAGAGCAAAGAGATGCCACTCAGGATGTGTCAGGGACAGAAGGGCAGGAGTCCTCTTCAGCCTTCACTGCCACCCCCAAGCTCCTCTGAACCTCTGAAATGCTAGAGTTTCAGGGAACACAGTTTGAGAATCACGGCACTGCCCCATCCGGTTCCCGGAGTAGTGGGAAGTGGTAATTCCTTACTTTGTCGGAAAAGATAATTCCTTCCAGCCCCTGCAGGCTGAAAGAGTCAATGAAGTGGAATGGTAACGTGAGCAGAAGCTTGCTTCCCCAACGGCGTGGCCAGCACTGGCAACAAAATGCGGGGGGTACGTGATGGTAGGTGACGTGGCAGGGGCGACAGGCAATAGCCACCCTCGGGAAGAGGTACTGATGCCTCCGTGAGCATCCAGACACATCCACCCCCCGTATGCAACCTCAGAGTATCTCCTCTGAAATTCCTGCAAGAGCTTGTTTGCCATTTCAACGAATCCATTACGGGACAAAAACGACCAAAAGACTCTTCCCAGGAGGTGGGTGTTTGGTCACAATCCGAGCTCTGGGGACACCTGGCAGGAAAAGAAAGGGAGCGTGTGGGCAGGGGTCAGGGGAAGGCTGTAAGTCCCTCCTTTTGAGCAGAAAGCAGATGCCTTTGCCTCCAAATCCCAAGGAGGTGGCGGGCTGTGCGGCCGGCAACGCCAACTTGGGGGGTGGGAGTGGGGGAGGGAATAGGGAAGCTTGTCCCCCTGGTGTCACGACTTTCAGTCCTGTACCCCTTCCCTCCAGCTTTGTCATTTTTCCCCCAGCTGTGCAATGAGGGTAATTCAAGAAGGTCTCCCTGGCACCAGGCTGGGCCATGGCTAATGGCCACCATAGCTCCCTCCTGTCACACTCGGCGCACATGATGGTGTCTGTTCATTTCTTCCCCAGACTGTGAGCCCAGGAGGGTAGGAATCAGTTTTCCTTTGCTCGTCATGGATTCCTTCATTCAGCAAGCACACATAAAGCGCCTACTATGTTCCAGATGATACAATTAAAGCCGTGAACAAATCACAGTCGGTCTCCAGGAAGCTTGCAGTCACAGGAAAAGACAGATGGGAGGTGATTCCATATCTAACACGGAGCAGTATTAATACTATGAAGAAATATATTAATAGATACCAGGGGATTAAATGAGAAAATGCATATAGTAAGTTCTCAGTAAAGGTTACAAATTATAATTTTAATGACAACTGTCAAAATGACAATTATTAATAACCCAGAACAAGGGTAGTGCTGAAAGCATAGATTCTAGAGCCAAACCAAGTGAGTTTGAGTTCCAATCCTACCACTGGAACTGTGTGGTCTTGGGTAACTTACTCAAGTTTTCTGAGCTTCCATTTTCTCATGACCCCAAAGAGTCAATGAGCTGTAAGTGACCAGCCACATGATGAAATGATCTGGGGGCCCCAAGGAACGCTGGCGATGACATGAATGATAGCAGCTACCATTTATTATCACACACTTAGCATGTGCTGGATACAATCACATTGTCTGTCCCATTGGACTAGAAGCTCCACGGAAACATCTGTTCACGTGTGTCCCCAGCATCTGGCACACAGTGGGCACACAGTAAATACTTACGGCGGGGTGGAGGGAACGTGAGACATCCCATGTAATCTTGACAACAACCCCAAGAGGGATACTGGCCCTGTTCCCATTTCATGCATAAGAACCTGAGGCTCAGAGAGGGTGCGTCACTGCCAGAGGTCACATGGGCAGTAAGGAGCAAAACTGAGCCTTGGACAGAGGTCTGGTCTGACAATGAAGTCCGAGTCCCGAATCCACTGCTCTCTAGCTGCCTTGGTGGACAGTGCTCCCTAACCCTCTCATTTCACAGTGAAGGAACTGGGGCCGAGGGACGCGTGCCAGGCACCCAGCAGGGTGGCGGCAGAGTTGGGATGGGCAGCAGCCTCCTGATTCAAGGGCACCTATCAGAGGTCCACACGTGGCCTGGGTGTAGCCATGGGGAGACCGGGTGAGAGGAGCCCGCACCTGCCTGCCCTGAAGGGCTCTTCACCCGTGTGTAGGGGGAGGCCCGGACTAGCCCAGCCAGCGGCACCACAGCCAGAGGGGGCACTGCTGCCGAAAGTACCTTCCAGCAAAAGAGCTGCTGTCCCTTCTCCTTCGTCCCCCTTGTTTTCCCCGCCCCACTCTTTCTCTCAGGCTCTCGGCGACTCATTCCCGGGCTGCCCTTGGAGTGGGTCACTCTGCGGATCCCTGGTGATGCGCGTGGCGCTTTTGGCCGAATGTCTTCCGGTTAGAACTGGGGCGCTGCTGGCACCTCTGTTCACCCGTTCTGGCCTAGAGTAGAAAAACGTCTGGGCTGCAGTGACTGAGGGCTTCTCTCACCCTGTTCAAATCAGCCCACACCCTCTAGTTGGGACAGAGGGCTCCCTTGTCTGGCCGCGGGGCTCTCTCCTGCCATACACCCAGAGCGTCACCCCCTGCCTCTGACTCCATGCCACCCTCTGGGATTGTTCACATGAGGGGTACACAGGCAGGTTAGAGTGGAGGTGCGAGCATGTTTGCAGAGAGTCATAGCTGCAGAGAGGATGGCGATTATCGGGGTGGATGAGCCTTGAGGGCAGGGCTTCATCTTAGTCACCGTTGCCTTGTCCCCAGCACCTGGCATGGTGCCTGGCACACGTAGACACTGGGCAAGGTATCTGCAGAATGAATGAATGCCTGCTGCTGTCCTGGGGGGAGCGGCAGCAGTGGGCTGAGTGCCTGAGACTCCTGCCTAGACTGGCTGCATTGCAGCCCTTCTGGGCCCAGAACAAAGCCTCGCAGCCCGGCAGGGGAGCCTCTGCATCTCTGGAGAAAGCTGGTTTACTGGCTTAATAAGCCCAAGTGTCGGTTCCTTCTCCCAGGGCCCCCGTCGGTGATCACACACCAGTCCCACATCACACGCTAATTAGCGAGCGGGCTTTGGCACGGCTTAGTTCCATCAGAGAGTGGTTGTGATTCTGCTGTCCATTTTCCCAGGCTGAGAAAGAGAGAAACTGGGGCGAGGAGGAAATGACAGCACAAAGGGGGCAGGTGGGGACTGGAGTGTCCCCAGCCCTCCCGCTGTCCGGGTGTTCATTGGCAAAGGTGCCTGCTGGTCAGGCCTCATACTCGTCAGGCGCTTGCGCGGCAGGCGACGGCAGACAGCCGGCATTTACAGTCAGACCAGCCTGGCCCGGAGGCCCGGCTCTGCGGCGTCCTCACTGGGCGACCCCGTGTGGGTTCCTGAACTACTGGAAGCTCCAGCCCCCTCACCTGTAAATGCAATGGTCACGGCGTCTCTCTCACCTGGTTGGTCGGGGAAGTGCAAGAACTCAGGAGAAGTTCTAAGCATAGCGACCGATTTTTGGCAAGTGTTCAAAAATAGTGCCCTGTTAGCACTTTTTCACTCTCGCACTAGGGCTGGCAAACGTTTTCTGAAAAGGGCCAGATAGTCCATGTGTGGGTCTCTGCAGGCCACACAGTCTTTAGATGAGGCATGGTTGAGAGCCTGGCCATCTAGAAATTTCCGTGGAGGCATCACAGTGGCAGGCCCTTGGATAGGCCTTGAGCCAGGGGCCCAAATAACTACACACCATCCCGCGGCCCTGGGCTTTCTGACCCCTCTGCTGTCCTGGCCTATGGGAGCGAAGGCCTGCTCTCCAGGGAGCGTGGCATCTCAGCAGATCCTTCCTTCCCTCTCAGCCTCCCCAGCAGCAGAGACGTGGGGAAGTCACCCTGGGGCTGGGGGCTGCATAGACCACGGGGCTGTGGGTCTGTCCCCAGCCCGGGTCACTCCTTCAGAGCCCAGCACCAACACCACTGTGAACCAGGCCTTCCAGAACTCTCCATTGGAGCAATTTGGTTAGGCCCCTCTTAGATGTCTCAAGATTCAACACATGTCAGATATCACCATCACCACCATCATCGTCATCATCATCATCATCATTTTTCTAGTGGGCTGTACATTCTGTGAGCGGTGGGCTCTGTCCTGTTCACTTTGTGTTCATCACCCCTGCAGTGCCTGGCACATAGTAGGGGCGCAGAGCATAGCTGGGTCTAAATGGGTACAAAGGTGTCATAGCGCTAGAGCCAATACACCCTCAGCATGGCATTTCCGGGGGAGTCTTTGCATGGTAAGTTAGAAGCAGACACCAGTAATCCCAAATCCTGGCTGATGGGTCTGCTCCATCCCTCTGGCCTATTCAAGACCCCAACCTTCCTTTCACTGCCCCAGTGGGGCAGGTCCCTGAGGCTTGTTGCATGAGCGCTGGCCCAGAGCTGCTGGGAGATGCCCGGGTCTGCCGTCCCACGCTCCACTAACAGGTTTTGCCTTTCTGGTAACCCTACCTTTGCTGCGGTCTTCAGCTCGCCCCACTGGGCAGCCCCCAGAGGTGCAGACACTCCATCCAGGCCCAGGCGGAGCTCCCCAGCCACGCTGTGGCGGGAGAAGCGGTCGCAGGTCCTCAGGGTCAGCGTCAGGGTGGCCGTGGGGAGCTCCTCCTCCGCCAGGGGCAGCGCCAGGCCCTCCTCCCAGGTGGTGTGCAGCTGCCGCTTCTTTAGAGCTGTCTGGGCCTCCACAGAGCCCGTCCTGTTGGTCACGCTGCCTTGGACATAGCAGTCACAGCCTCCATCGTGGTCGCTGGTCACGGCTGCAGGCAAGGAGAAAGCAACACAGACGTGGGACTTCCCGAGGACGAGGGGAGGGAAGAGCATGCCCTGCTCAGGGGTGTGGGATCCAGGGTCGTGGTCATGATCTCGGAAGTCTGAAACACCCCGGGGTGAGCACCCTGGGCACTGTGGAACCGCCTTTCAGCACGACATTTAGAAACAGGAGAGCCTGCGAGGGGCCAGTGTCAGCACACACCGGACCTCCTTGGAGCACAGGGGCAAGACATGCCGCCTGCCAGAGGCCGTCCAAACTCGTGATTCTGACATTTCCCCAGGGGGCCAGGCCCATGCTGACGACTTTATTAGTGCTGCTGCTGAACCTGCGGTTCGTTTGTTCTGCGCTTTAAATGTTTACCGTATGACCACGTGCGTGGCAAATGTGAATCACTTGGCTGCAACCTCATGAACGTCGTTATTGAACCTTGCTGGTTTCAATGCTTCAGGATGTGGATCTACCCAGAAATTTGCACCTGTGGTGCTCTTAGGACTGGCTCTTCCATGATAATTTGTTAGCCGACATTTCACAGGCAGAGATGAAGACCTGAGGTCATGTGTCCTAAGAGTGAGAACTTTCCACTGAGGTTCAAGGGACTGTTTATCCTGGCTCTGTCATCAGTTAGATTGAATACTCTTAGACAAGTCGTATGAGTTGCTAGACCTTAGTTTCCTACTCTGTAAAATGGGACTATTGTGAAGATGAAATGCAATGAAGTATATGAAAGTGCTTAAACATCTTAAGACAATAAGGAAAACCACTCAAAAACAAAATTAAGTATAAAATTGATTCACCTGGCCCCATCGCTTGCCCTGATTCCTTTGTAAAGTCCTAGCTTTGTTTGCTAAGTGAACTATAAAGTGAGTGGTCTGGTTGGCAGACTACTAATCCCGTGGTCCCTCCAGCTGCAGATGCCTGCACAGCTCCTCTCGGGGAGAGACACACACAGAAGCCCGTGCGAGTCCAATCCGAACAGTACCTTCCAGACGCGTCACAAACAATTCCGCCTTCTGCTGGTCGTAGTCCAGGCAGTAGTGGAGTTTGGGGGCCTGGTTCCAACTGGCAGCCTTTTCTGGGTTCCAGGTCTCCATGACACAGACATCCTCCACCACCCCTGTCAAGAGAGCCAAAACCGTCACTGCCACCCACACTGGGGTCCTGTTTTCCTGACCACACCTTTCCCATCTCTGCCACCTATGCCCTGAACCCAAACTCAAATCTTCCTAGCCACGTGCAAAATCATGGCCACCACACCAAGGTAACACGTGTAGACACGGGCATGGCATTTCAGGGACCATCAGAGCCCAGCAGTCTTTGGTGTTGGACATGGGCTGCTACATCACAGCCGTGTGACCCTTGGACAAACTACTGGACTTCTTTGAACCTCAGTTTCCTCATCTTCACAATGGGCGTGGTGACAGTGCCTCTTTCCTGGAATTTCTGTGAGCATTAAATAAAACAAAGCACGGCAAGTTCTTAGCCCGGAGCCTGGCCCACGGTGAGCTGGCAGTAAGGGAAACTGTCACAGCCTGTTGTAGTTCTGCCGACCCTATTTCAGGCAAACCATCCCCACCCTTCCTCCAGTTCCACCTCTCCCGCAGAGCCTAGCCCCTGCCCCCGGGAGTTAACTGTTGGAGATAAACACCGAGGAACAAGTCAGGAGTGGATGCTGGAGGCAAAGTCAGGAGTCCTGGGTTTGACTTTAGTGCATGTTCCATAAAGATGTGCTGAGTGAATGAATGAATGACCTTATCTCTAATTCGGAAGTTCCTAAAACCCCCAGTGTTGCTGACTCTGCCCCTCACTTGAACAGGGACCTAACGTCTGGAAGGTTCTCATGAGTTAAACAGAACATAAGAATTAAAAGGACACAGCAGCTGCAGAAGACTCCATTTTCAGCAAACGGGAATTTCGTTTCTGACTTTCAGAGCTAATGTAGAGGGTAGAAATATAGAGGATTATTTAATTTCCAAAATGCTTCATTATTAAGTACCTGCGAGTTGTGAAAATTTTCCCTAGTGCATCTAAGAAAGGAACAGATTGAGCAGGGTGCGGCCAATGTAGAAAGCGAGACACACGTGTACACGGAACCCACGTGGCTTCCAAAGGCATCGCACAGACCACGGCAGCAATGTCAGCATCAGAACGGGCTTACTGGCGCCCGGAGTACCCAGCTCTCGGTCAGCCTCAGCCTTGTCATCAAAACCAGCCCCCACTTATCTAAGGTCTCTTATCATGGGTTGGGGTCGGGGGGGGGCTCCATTCGGGTGTAGCATCGGCAAGTTGACTCTGCTACCCTCCTTCCCCGAGAGGGACCCAGGAGCCAGCACCACTTGGAACTGTAGGAACGGTCTCAGCCTCAAGAAGTGGGACTTGGAGCTCTACGACGAGTGGAGAGGATTGTCACTGGTGGAGGAGCCACACTTGGCACATGATGGGGACAGCAGCTGAATGATCGGATGTCCTGTCCTACGCTCCTTCGCCTCTGGTCAGCATTTGCTGACCCAATCACCCCTTGATGGATTTCTGTGGAATCAGAACTAGGTTGTTGCCTTCTGGGGTGGGGAAGAGAAGGAGGAAACATGAAAGGGAGAAAAGTAACAAGTGTGTCCCGAGTTTTCCAAGGTTGCAGGCACTGGTTTGTTTTCCTGCTCTCCTTGGTGAAAAGTGTCCAGTCCTGGCTTCGTCTGATCCTTGAGAAATCTGGGGCTCCCGGCAGAGGGGATTAGGATTAGGATTACTACCCCCAAGAGTCCTCACACGGATCATCTCTGCCCCCCAGCCTTAGCTCTCAAGTCTTAACATGTCTCTTATAAATCTATTTGAAGTGTGAACAGGCAAGCCTGGAGACGAAAAGCCAGCCAGGATTCGCTCAGGTGCCAGGCCCTCCGGATCATGCTCCTGAAATGCCAGGCCATCACTGCGGTCTGGGCCAGGGCGGACGGGGCACTGTCCACTGGCCAGCACGGGTCTGGTTGCATCCGGGCCACGAGACGCATTCAGAGTGGGGTCAGCACCCGGCGTGCAGTACCTCTCTCAGCAACCACGCAGAGCAAAACCCCAGACCGCACAGCAATCTGCCCTCCCGGCAGCTTTCTGTTTTGCGTCCCTAAAATGCCTACATATTCCTCTGGCTTAGGGACTGGTCTCTGCTCACGTATCTGCCCCAGTGCCTGGCACCGGTGCCAAAGGTGTTGCATTCGTTGTGCTGATGAAAAGGAGAATAGAAACAGTAACGAAATGCTTTGATTATACCCTTTGTGAGTTGAGCATTCTGTATGCATTATTTTACCTGCACTTTACAACAACCCGATTGGACAGGTAATAGTGTGATCCCATTTTATAGATAAGGAAACTGAGGCCCAAGGAGGTTAGCAGCATGACGGATGCCACACAGCAAGTATATACAAGGGCAGCAAATTAAACCCATGACTCTGAGGCCCGTGGTTTTTACCATGACTCTACCTGCTCTCCACAGTCGCACATGCACAACCTGAAAAGGGACTCTCCATTTCCCAGCGGGACACTGGAGGTTGGTGGGGAGAAGCAACGTGGCAACATGTCAGCAGGAATAAAGGACTGTGATTCCGAGACCCAGTGCCCGCCTGCTTGCTCGGTGGCAAATGCCATGGACACTGGGGCTCTCCGAGCACCCTCAGCTTGGCCGCGCACAGCGTCTGCAGAGGCGTTGACAAACCCCACCTGAGTGTGGCCCACAGAAGCGCCAGGGGGCAGGAGACCCTACCATTCTGAGGAAGGATGAACAGCTCCTCTGTGACCTGCTTCTTGAGGCGACTGTCACTCGGGGCCTGGGGGCTGGCAGGTGCAGCAGGCTCCTCCGTGGACCTCAGCGTGTAGTCTGCATAGTTGATGACCTCGGGCGCCGTCACCGCCGGCCTGGGTCCGTAGATGTCTGGGAACTTGAGGAGGGCTCGGGGCTGGACAGGTTCCGTGGATTTTTTAACATTAAACTGCAAAAACAGATCACTGATTAGTCCATGAGGGAACCTCCTGCCTGTTTTCCACTCGTGGAAGGGAGAAGCAGTGAGTTGAGCTGGCATGGGAGGGAGAGGGAGACGTGTGGTTCCATTGTGCCCAAAAGAACACAGCCTGGGAAGGTCATAGGTCATGTCCAAACCCACCAGAATCCACAATCCACTGAGATGTGGGCCCCATCCAGCCACCCCTTCCCCATCCATCGGCCCACTCACCCTACGGCTGTGCCCATGGGTGTTACGCGGGCCTGTGGCCGGTGGTCCTCCCTCTGCCTCTTCATTCTGTCTCCTCCTTCTCTCCCTTCTCTTCGCCACCTAATGGCTCAGAAAGGCCAGTGGCTCCCACCGCACTTGGACCCCAATCCAGCCTCTTCGCAGTGACCCAACAGAGCCTGCCTCGCCGGGCCATGTGCATCTCTCTGAAAGGGCCCCGAAGCCTTCTCCCTTTGCCCCCCGCCAGCCTCCCAGTTCCCTGCTTCTCAAACAGGTTCACTCTCAAACAGTCACACCCAGGCCAGCTGTGCCGGCTCCGGAAGTCATCAGCTATGCAGACTGCACGCTGAGGTCCACGGAGGAGCCTGCTGCACCTCCCAGTTCCCAGTCCAGCTTCCCCCAAACATCCCGCCCCAGCCCCCACTGCTCTCTGAGTGGCTGGCTCCCTCTCACGCCTGAAGCCTCACCAGAGAGGCCATCTCTGACCCTCCTATCTGAATTAAGTTCCTCTCCCAAGCCTGGCCCTCCCTGTCACCACATCCCGCTCTTTGCTTCACAGCATGGATCCTACCCTTATGCTGTCTCGGTCATGGGCTGGCATGTTTGCAGTCAATCTCTTCCACTAGAATGTGAGATCCATGAGCATACAGATTATGTCTTGTCTTGCTCCTGCTTTGTCCCTGGTGCCTAGCATAGTGTCAGCTCACAGAGAGCATGAAACACATACCTGTGACTAGGGCTGCCACGTTCAGTGGTATGGCTTGTGCACTGCACAAAGGCGCCTGGATGAGGGCCAAGTGTGAGGCCAAAATGCAGCCTGTGCACCATTTGCCCAGTCATGTGCCCTGAGGTGGGGGGCTCAGGCACTTGGAAAAAAGAGAATCTTTCTTTACACAAAGACCTGCCTGTTTGTCTAGGCTTTACAGGGGGCTGCCTCACACAGAGAGTGGAATCTTCCATCTTTGCCTCTACTGGGCACTGAGCTCCCTCCTACTTGAGGGATTCAAAGTTATATAACAGGCAGGAAACTGGGGATTGAGGACCAGATCTAGAGCTGGAAATGCTGGCATCCTGGGTGGTCACAAATGACCGTCAGGGTAAGGCAGGCCGGGCCCATGGCAGAGTCTCCAGGAAGCCTCCTGACTTCCACGCTGGCCCTCACGGCCCTCCCCTTTCTGTGGCTATCTCTGGTGGCCAGTCAGTGGCAGGGCAGTGTGGGGGTGGGTGGATGCCATCTGCAGGGGGAGGGCGCTTAACAGCTTAGTACTGTTTCAAAGTTTGTGTTTATAACATTTGCACCTTCTATATTTAATGGGATAATTCTTGGATGTTCTGCCTGGTTGAGACTCTGTCCCCAACCATTCCTGAGGGAGGGGACCGAGGTGACAGGGGCATTCCTCGATCAGCCTCACTCGTCGGACAAACGGCTGGGGCGTGCACGGGAAGGCATGGCAGGACCCAGAGGAAGAGGAGGAGGAGCGGCCTCGCCTGGACACCCCCTTCCTGCCTGGCCCCATCCGGTTCCCGCCCCAGCATTACCACCAGTATCTTCAGAACTCCCCTAAGAGGTAGAGATTATCCCTCTTGTATAGAAGGGGAAACTGAGGCTCAGAGGGGCTAAAACACTCCATTGTCCTCCCGGAAACACCACCCAGAGATCATCATGCAGCCAAGCACAGAGCTGATCCGCCCTGATCGTGCTGCGCGTGCCCGGTGTGTACGGGCTTCGAAAGCTTCTCTGACTTCCATGGAGTGAAGTCGCTGGGATCCTGCGTCTGGGGAGGGCAGCGGCACTGAGCCCGGATCAGCCGGGTCCAAAGCCCACTGCCCCTGCGGCTCTCGACGTTCGTCTTGCCTTCAAGTCTTTCCCAAGCACGGCACCCCCCATCAGAAACATCTGTCATTATCTTGTCACACGTAAGGAACTAGTCGCCCGGGAGGGACCAGCATGATTTGCAAAGTCAGGCCCCCTGTGTGCCTCCACGTGTACTGAGAGTGCCGCTGGGCATCGAGGGGGCTGGCTTCCAGGACTGACCCCACCACCAGAGCTGGGTCACTTTTGGCAGGTCGTTTTGCCTCTCTGGGCTGTCACCTTAAGTGACAGGTGATTTTGGGGCTTATCCCACTGCGCATCCTGAGCTGCTTCTGGGGGCTGCAAAGAGGTGGGAGAGCTGTGCTTTATCTGCAGGTACAGGTGAGTGGGGGAGCTGCCCACACACAGGAGAAGTAAACAGCAAGTGCATTTGGTGGTTCAGGACCGCGGCACGGAAGCAAGCGGGAGGCAGTGTGCGGGAATAGCCCATGGCAGCTGCCCGCGATCCACGCAGGGGCGATCACAGAGCCCAGGCCGGGCTTCAGGGAAGGGCCCGGGTGTGAGCGGGACCTGGAGGGAGAGGAGGGTCTGGAAAGCAGAGGGAGGGGTGGGGAGAAAGTCTGTGCTCCTAACACCAGGCAGCCCAGGGCCCTGGGATCAGACATAGAACAATGACTAATGTCCCCACGTCTTTCTATCCTCTGCAAAGTCACATCCACCCTCCATATCTCAACTAAGTCCAAGTTACATTTATTCTATTTCACAATGAGGAAACTGAGGCTCAGGGAAGCTCAAGATCATAGAACTGACGCGTAGTCTGTATCAAGCCTTCCGATGTTTTGACTTCAAATTTCATGTCATTTCCACTCCCTCCAGCTGCTTCTCAAACAAAACAAAACAAAGCAAATAAACCCCTGTTTGTCTTGGATGCTGCATTCTAAGTGGCAGCCACGGCATCCTGGGGTTCTGGCCACTGCCGGCCCCGGCTGTCCATCAGCACAGAAGAGCTCCCAGAGGCTGCTGGGCCCCAGCCCACCCCTGACTTAGGGTCACCCTGCTCTGTCACTTGTTGGGACCCCAACTAAGGCTGTTTGGAAAGATGGGGAACGTGTTTGTGTTTATATTTGGTTTCATCCCAGTCCAATCATTTGAGAAAAGGGCTCGGTTTCATTCCCAGCGTGATCCAATCGGGCTGATCTTGCATTTTCAGTGGGAAAATCATCACCAGCTTCGTTCTGAGTGAGATTCACTCTGTGTTGCCCCAAGTCTCTGATGAACCTGGGTCTGCATCCTCTCTCCTCTGTGGGTCTCAACCTGTGGGCCTCCGATGTTTCCAGGAGCCTGAAGTGCTTAAAATGCACCCCTAGAGCAGTAGATTGGGGTGTTCTTGGTTGTCCCTCAATATCTGTCCCCTCTCTCCTCTACCTTCACTGTATACCACCAGGCTGTCTAGCTTCCACCCCTCCCTAGCTCCCAGGTGAGGTTTGTTTGGTCGGATCCTGCCCGTTCTTGGCATTATCTTGGTGACTGTTTCTGGCCCAGGGGTTGGCACCTGTCCTGGGGAAGCCAACCCCTTACACTCCACAGTAGTGGAAGAGGTTCTGTCTCCCCCTGGACAGGAAGCATGTGGCCCTGTCTTGTGACTGCAAGGTGAGTCAGCCTTGGGACAACAGAGTGGAGAGACAGAAAGAACCTACATCCCTGATGAGAACGTCATTAACCTACTGAATCAACCAACCCTGCAATCTGTCCTACGTCTGCACTTCAAGTTACACGAGCAATATTGTTCTTGTTGTTTGAGCCTGTTGGAACTGGGGTTTGTGCCTTGCAGCCAAGAGCAGCCCAAGCCGATGCACTGCATTTTAACAAACAGTGCATCGGCCTAACAGGAGACCGTGACCCTGGTGCAGAGAAACTCGGCCTGGGGTACACTGACCCCTCTTGAATCTCTCTGCGTTCACGCTCACCTGCTGTTTATCCTTACCCTGCCTTACCCTGTGTGGCAAATGGCTCCGTTAGCACGGAATGGCTTATAGCCCTTGCCAGGCCAAGCGCAGAGTCTGATGACAGCTACACGAGTCTCTTCAAGCAGCGAGAGCAGCGGCTGATTTGCTCTCTCCTTCTCTTGTGCCACCTTATTTATTGCACTTCAAAAGCCTGGTTCCACCACATCTTTCAAATGCATCTAGTTCCACTTACACAGCTGAAACTTCAGTGCCAGAGAAGCAGAAAAGAGGTTTGGGCGCCGAGGAAGGGAGCCTGGGAGATCACAGGTGAAGAGCAAGGATGTCTGGGGGGCAGGCAGTGCTCAGGGGAGCAGGGCCCCAGGGAGAGATCTGAGCTCCAACCTCACACCGTGGGTGCAGGCGGGGCAGGATTCTCTGTCTACATGGCCCTTGAAACCCAAGAGGACCTAGGAAATACATTTGCAGGATGAGTCAGGGAAAATTTCCAGTGGGGATAAGCATTGAACAATTAGGGAATGGACGCCCGCTGTGCTTGGCCTTGCATGCTCATCTAGACAGAAGGCTCTCACCCTCGGATGGTGCTCAGAGCCTTCTGATGCGCATCCTTGGATTCTCCCAGCCTCACCTGTCTCCAGCACCTTTGGCTACTTGCCCCTCCTACTGCAGCTGACTCTGCATGGGCTCCGACCAGCTTCCCATGGGCACAGCCCCGCCGGGCCTCACACTGTGCCCAGGCCGCCCCCTCTTGCCTCCTGCCCTGGGCTTCTCCATGGCTGCTGAGGTGTGAGACACCAGGGACATGCTGTCCACCCAAGAGCAACCTAGATGTGCAAAGAGTTAAGACTCCATGGGGAAACTCAACAAAAAACTAAACACCTGGGTTCAAAAATGGGCAGAGGACTTAGACATTTCCCCAAAGAAGATGTACAAACGGCCAATAAGCACATGAAAAGATGCTCGACATCACTGATCGTCAGAGAAATGCAGATCAAAACTACAACGGGATACCACCTCCCACCCACTAGGGTGGCTCTTATCAAAAAACAGAAAATGACAAAGTCAACACTCTTGGTGGGAATGCAAAACGACGCAGCTGCTTGGAAAACACAGTTCCTTAAAAAAATTAAAAAATGACTATATGATCCAGCAATTCCACTTCTGGGCGTATACTGAAAAGAATTGAAAACAGGGTCTCGGAAGGGCTATCTGTACACGCGTTCATCGCAGCCTCAGTCACGGCAGCTCAAAGGTAGAAGCAACCCAGTGTCCATGAACAGAGGAAAGTGCCAACAAAACGTGCTCTATCCATACAGTGGAATATTATTCAGCCTTAGAAAGGAAAGACATTCTGACACATGCTACAACATGCATGAACCTTGAGGACATTATGCTAAGTGAGAAAAGCTAATCACGAAAAGACAAATACTGTATGATTCCACCTATGTGAGGAACTTAGAGTCATCAGAATCACAGAGACAGAAAGTAGAACGGTGGCTGCCAGCGGCTGGGGGAGGGGAAACGGGGAGTTATTGTTCGATGGGGACAGCGTTTCAGTTTTACAACAGGAAAAGAATTACGGAGATGGATGGTGGTAATGTTTGCGCAACATAATGAATGTATTCATTAACACCACTGAACTGTACACCTAAAAATGGTTAAGATGGTAAATTTTATGTTATGTGTGTTTTAGCACAATAAAAAAAATTGGGGGAAAGAAAACCCCACAACTCCACAGGAGGAACTTGACCCCACGGGTGGGAAGACAATGGATTCTCCTTCCTCCTCATCACTTTTCTGGGGTCTTCAGTGGCCTTTTGGAAGATGACACCTCGAGACCTAGCAGGCCCAGGGATGCACCTGGCCTTGTCCTCCCACCTCCCCCGGGTCCTGCTTCCTGGTGGAGAGCCGCCCAGATGCACGCCCTGCCTTCCGGGACTCCAGGCTAAGACAGATGGCATGGGGGGACGAAGGGGGGGTGAGCCCGAACCTTCATTTAATGAACAAATATTTACGGAGCCCTGCTACAGGCCAGGCCTGGCGCTCAGTGTTCGGAATACAGGAGTGAGCAAGACAGATGCTGCCCTTCCCTTATAGGGCTCATGTTGGAAAAACAGAAATTAATCATGTAGTTAATGATCTATACACAAATGCTTAACCTTACCAGAGAGGCTGAGTGACTGCTTTTGTGACATGATTAATTTTTCACCTAAAGGCTGTTTATTAATTTGGGGTTTCATGCTAGGACAGCCCTCTTAAAGTAGCATCGTGCCACCCTGGAAGTTGCAGGTAGAGGAAGCAAACCTGGTTGGAAAAGTAGACATCTTTGCCCCTTAAACTTGAACTTTAAAAAAGAAGATGGCAGAGAGGACAAAACTGGGCCTAGAGCATTCAGTTAATGCCAAACACAGGCCACCACTGCTACTGGTCTGCAGCATAGCTAAGCCCCCTTAGAGGGGCAGCTGGGCCAGGGAACAGGGGCCTGCAAGAATCTATTGCTCTGGACTCTAATACTGGTGATTATACACACCAACGTGGGTATAAGAGTTTAAGTTTGGCCGGGCACGGTGGCTCACGCCTGTAATCCCAGCAGTCTGGGAGGCTGAGGTAGGAGGATCACTTGAGGCCAGAAGTCAAGACAAGCCTGAGCAACATAGTGAGACTCTGTCTGTACAAAAAAATAGAAAAATTAGGTGGGAGTGGTGGCACATGCCTGTAGTCCCAACTACTTGGGAGGCTGAGGCAGAAGGA